TTGGCCTGGAATTTAATCTAAGCCTACTCCATCGCAAAAATGATTTTAGGTAATGCTTGACCCAAAATTTGAGTCCCGCATAGACGGTGTAGTGCTCACATCACCAGCAGTTGGGGTTCAGCCTACGCATCCAATATTTGTGGTCAGAAAACCAGCTTTTGTTACAACTAATTTTTATGCACTCTTGAATATATTATATACTCAATTACAAGTTTTCAAATGCACCCTAAACCCTAACCCTCTACGCGCTTTCCTCCGTTTATCATGCCAGGTAATTGCTCCATTGCTCTCATTTTTGCTGCCAAGATACCAAATCAGTGCAGCAAATAAGAAGGGCATGCCTGTTTCTCGTGACCCAGCGGCTCTAGTTGCCAAGTATTCGGACCCTCTAGTGTACACTGGATCCATCCGCGTAAGGACTGGTTATGAGATTCTCCGAATCACATCCTACTTGCAGCAGAACCTAACCAAATTGAGGGTCCCCTTCTTTGTTCTCCACGGCACAGCTGATACGGTTACTGACCCCGAGGCCTCCCAGAAACTGTACGATGAAGCCTCCTCAACTGACAAAACCATCAAACTGTTTGACGGGTTGTTACATGACCTTCTCTTTGAGCCAGAGCGAGAAGCCATTACGAAGGGCATCATTGAGTGGTTGAATCGTAGAATATGAAGCAGCTAGGCAGTGCCACAGTGGGAGATAAAGATTGATAACTCATGTGACAAAAAGAAAATGGATCGATCGATACGAGTGACCATTTTTTTGTGGAAGCAGGAGATAGAAATACCGAAATTGATGTGGCTGGATAAAAAATCAGCATATTATGTTGAAACTTGAAGCATCGTGACATTGTTTTCTTGTTCGGTATTGGAAAGATCATCTGCAGTTGTAAAATGCTTCATCTCCTAATCCATATGTTGCTTGAAAACTTGCCTGCTGAAGAATTTAAGCAGGTGGGGTTTTCCACATTTCAAACAGAATTCCTGGCTCACCCGATAGCAAACTCCCCTCATTTATCATAAGTATATATTTTCTGTTGTTTTCTTTACCTAGTGTTAACAGGTGAAGCAAAACTCGTGTATTTTTTAACTTCCGATTTCGACAGAGGTTTACGAACAAGGAAGAAAGTTGACGTTCCACCATAAAACCAAGAGCAATATAAAAAGTAGCTAATTACTTATAAACACATTCAAGGTCCCTCATTTCTAGGAAAATACAAATCGAGTGATGTGGAACACGTATAGCCGTTGAGTTTCACATGAAGGGTAACCTGCTTTGATACCATAAAGAAAATTGAGGTTCTACTATGAAATCAATTGGCAATACAGAGATTAGCTCAATTACTTATAAACATATGCAACTTCTCTTATTTCCCCAATGTGGGATCGATACTCCCAACAATATTATCAATTATTTGTCAAGGTGGTGAATAATGATTTATGTCCCTGCAATCAAATACATTTTTATAATTTTTTTTGGGGTTTTGTGGACGTTAATTCGCTTTAGCGTATGATTACTTAAAAAAGAATAATTAACCACGCTTTTACATGGAGGAAACACGGACAATTATATGATAATTAATCGAGTGAAAGAAATGAAGGAATTAATATTATTCTGATGTTTCATTAATTAACATAATCTGATGTTGCGAACGCTGCAGTGAGCTGAGCAATACAAGTAGGCGACCGTGGAAATATTCGTTTTAGGAAAGCACAAGTGCCAAAAGAGTGGTCAAGTGGCTTGACTTTCTACACGATCTAGTGGAAACTGTTGCTTTCTAATTTCTGTTTTATTCCCGTTATGAACTGCTCATTTCTACACTTTCACAGCCACCTTCTTGGATTATATTAACCTATCTGTCTATGATAACCGAAAGACCAATACTATATATAATATCCCATCCACTGTACATGGAATAGGATTGATAGCGCCCTCGTATTGATTGTTTCGTCACTACATATGAATCATTTAGTACTTTTAACGTAGGACAATATAAATAATATTTTGAAATGTCAATCATATTCAATACTAAACAATATGTGGTCACGAAACGGTTAATAAGATGACACTATTATGACTCGCTGAATGAATAGTAAAACGTGAAACAAATACATGTTAATGTTACATATGGAGCTTCTCCTATATATGAATATTGGGATGTGTTATCTACATATCCCATTTTACTTCTCATACATCTCTTGATAATTTCTGTCCGTTGATCTTTTTCAATTCATCCGATCCGACGGCCGAAAATTAAAAAGGTGTGTAAGAAGTAAAATGAAGTGTGTATATCACACCCCATGAATATTTATGTAGTTGGCTTTTTAGACGGGATTCCGTTTCATGGGATACACGATTTGTGGTCATGAAATGATATGTGGTCATGAAATGGTCAGTATAAATGGAACTATTCAGTCTATCCTAAACCCCTACATGGATGGTTGAACGTGATGCTTGCTATATGAAGCTCCTCCACTGTACGAATATAGCGGCTTCTTAGAGATGGTTCCACTCCACATAGTGAAATACACGATATACATATATATATATACATATATATCGTCAATACGTCATTTATATATTAATATTTCACGTTGATTCGCTTTGATATGAGATTCATATATAGGTGTAGATATAATATATATTCTCACGATATATGATTCTCAATATATTGTCAATAACTCTTTGCATGAACAATGAATATTAAAAGGAACCACTTAATAAGCTTCATGTATATTATATTTACTTTCTTTTTCAAATTATATGCTCTCTAGTGCGCGCTCCTTTGAAAATTATAATGAAAAAGTGTTTGAGGTACAATTTGTCCATGAACTTTATTAGAAAAAGATAATATTGAAATCTGCCGTTAAATTGTTATATATTATGCAGAAAACACCCATGGTTAATTCATATGCTTTATTTGTTCTCATTCTTTTTCAATGAACCTGTCATCCTCAATCCTCATCCCATCAAGATTTTGTTGCCTTGCTCAATTGGGACAACAGACAAAATGCCAACTGACATTGAGGTTGAAAGCCATTGCAAAGGAACAGTGTTATATATACATATATGCGTGTATTTCAACTAATCTGTATATGTTTATGAATAATTAATCAATTCCTGGTTCATATAATCTATCACTAATCGACCTTTCCGGCATTTAAATACATATTAAGTTTGTCACCATGATAAAAACCAACCATTCCTTTGTGATAGACGCAATATAGAAACAAGAAGAAATAGTATTGGGGTTGGACGGTCGCGTGTAGACTATATATTCAGCTCCAAAAGGTAAGCAATTGGGCACACTAGCACTCGCACTAGGAGGAGGAAGGGTATTAACTTTATACATATATATATATATATATATATATATATATTATAAATGTATATTGCTGTCTACTTAACCTAATACTATACTAACTAGCTTGACCAATGACTAATTGATATTTTTTTGTTATTTGATTTGATTAACTAAAAAAACTAATTAATTAACTAGCTAGTCTGATTGCGTAGTACTTATCTTAGCTCTTTTGCCGTCCATCCAATCGTTCCTTTTTATTAACTAAACAAATGAAAATTCATCTGGATTTCAAATGAGTATTTTTTTTTAACAAACAATAATACCTACATTAAGGGGAGTGGGGGAGTGCTAAGCTTCACACTTGACTAGTCATACTAATGTGGTTCAAATTCTTTTTTTGCGAGAATCGAACCTAAGACCTTTCACTTACAAGTGAAGAGAAATACCACTAAATCGTAGTACTAAATGACGATTTCAAATGAGTATTAAAATCCTACAATATTTTTCATAAAAAAAACTTTAATTCATGAACAACAAGAAATTATAAAAGAAAAAAAATGACATTAAAAGTATACGGGTCACATTTAGTAGAGTCTAGGGACAGTGTTCAATTTTATATGATACATTTATTTAAACTTCATCTTATTTAAGAATTAAAGTCTTTTTTTTTAAATAACTTCATTTAAAGATTATATATACATAAAAATCAATCCACATATAAATAATTTAGTCATTTATATATCAAATTAATGGACAATATTGTCATCTTTATTGTGAACCACTCATTATATGATACAACGACTAAACAATCTCCAATTTCTTTTTCCCGTAGAAATGTTGTTCAACTGGAATCGCATATCCCACTAATTGATTTTTTTTTTTTTTGTCGAAACTAACTAATTGATTTCACTGCTTCTTTATATTATTAATTACTACCATGCACGTACCTATATATTACTTGTACACGTCACAAGAAATTACTGCGATTCCATCCATTTTCCGAATTTAACCACCATGAATTAAACTAGACCATGCATCGACTGTTCATTCTCATAATATTCTATAAGCTAGCTAGGCCTCCTATGCACACACAAAACACATAAAAACAAAGATAAAAAACAAATTAGAAAACGGTACCATGTGCAACTAAATAAATATGAGACAGAGAGCGAGATATTTTTCTCTTTAGCAAATTATCCAATTTTTAATTAATCCCGCACCTCCCACTAATCATGAATGAATCCCATTAAAATATGGTCTCTTACTTGCATCATCTCCTTCGCCACCCAGCCTTAATTATGCTTATCTCCTTCCAAATATTGGGCAAATGGAATTTTTTTACACTTTTTATTCGCAGGAGGGGTTGCGGGTTGCGGGTTGCATTCCCTTTCCACTACCCAAAATATCAGTCCTATAATATCTTTCATTCTAACTCCATGCAAGGCAAACAAGCAAGACAACTACTCTCCCGGGAGGAGGATCTGAACTTGGTACAAGGTGCGGTCACACTATTCTATATGGCCAACTTGCCTAACTCACGTCTACTCTTTGATCAAATTAATGATTTGTCTGGCTCGCTAACTGTTATTTACGTTGTTTGAAGGTCAAATCTAGACTACTACTACTCTCTCTCTGGGAGGGTTATTCAAACTTGGTGGGGGACGGTCACACTACCCTAGACTATAATCCAGATTAATGGCAGATAAGATTCCGAGATATGGCATCAACAATTTCATGGAGGATATAAATACAGAAGACTCCATGGAGATGGAGGCTACTACGGAAAGACCAAATAATAACCAAGCAAATATGATCTCCAACTCCAACATAATTTCCACTGCTCAAAATACATACCAGTAAGCTGGTCTACTTAGGTTTAAGAATGAATATATCAATACCTCACCTAACTAGCTATTAGTTCATATATTGAATATTAATTTGTAGTTAAACATGATGATGGCGTAGTTTTCTACTTTTGCATGGATCTGATCAGGATCTTCGCGGGTTCCTGGAATGTTGGAGGTGTTTCACCTCCAGAGTACTATTTGGACATACAAGGTTGGCTCCGACCTAATAATATTAACCCTCCAGCTAATATCTACGTCCTTGGGTAATTAATCTTATTTATTTCCCCATCTATACGGTAATTATATAATCATACGTGCAAGTCTCCATGCACTCACTGCAGATTGATTCATACAATACGATCACTAGTTCTGAATTAATGAATTGACGAATTTCAGGTTCCAAGAAATTGTACCACTGAATGTGGGAAATGTTGTGCGATCCGAAAACCGCAAAGTTTGTGAGAAATGGAATTCGTTGATCGGAGCTGCTCTTAACGATAAGAAGAATAAGATTACAGAAGACAAAGAAGAAGAAGAAGAAGAAGGAGGAGACGATGAAGAAGATTTCCGATGCATCATTAGTAGGCAAATGGTTGGAATATTTATATCTGTTTGGGTTTCAAGTGATCTATGCCAATACATAAGACATCTCAGTGTCTCATGTGTTGGCTGTGGTATCATGGGTTACCTAGGGAACAAGGTACAGAATATTAAGTAATAATTATAATCCATTCACCGTAATTTATTATGAATGAATTTAGATCAATTATTCAAATTAAATTTTTACTTCTACAATTTCTATACATATATATCGTGAATTAACATATTGTCACGTATACGTATATGTAGGGTTCGGTGTCAGTGAGATTTTGGTTACATGAAACAAGCTTTTGTTTTGTGTGTAGCCATCTAGCTTCTGGTGGTAAGAAAGGAGATGAGAGACGAAGAAATGCAGACGTCGCTGAGATTTTGTCTCGAACAACCTTTCCTGCAGGACCTTTCACTAATTTCTCCACAAAAATTCTTGATTACGAGTACGTATGTATATGCAGAGCAGCATAGCATGCAGCAGGGGCTGTTTGATAGCAATTTTTAATTTATTTTGTTATTTCTAAAACTATTGAATACTAAGTAATATATACGTGCAGTAGGGTAATTTGGCTTGGAGACCTAAACTACAGAATCTGCTTGCCTGATGCCACAACGCAATATCTTGTGGAGAAGCAAAAGTGGAACCTTTTGTTGGAATATGATCAGGTACTTAATTCGCATTTCAACCGTCATCTTGGAGTTTCAGACAAATTATACCATGTTATGTAGAAAGACTTTTGCATGACAGAGTTATTATTATTAGCACGGGACGCCTATTAAGACGTCATGGTATCGGAGTGCTTGTTTCATGAAAGTCTTTCTTGAGTGTTTGTTGGTTTAAGATTTTATAAATAATATAGATAATTATTATTTTTTGTTTTAAAGCTTAAGGTGGAGCTCATGGAAGGACGTGTATTCGAAGGTTGGCATGAAGGACTAATAAACTTTGCTCCAAGCTACAAATATTACCCAAATTCGGGGCTTTACTTTGGCTGTGATCAGAAGAGAAAATACAAAAGGCGTGCTCCGGCATGGTAATTAAGCATCATAAACTGCCCATTAATCAATGAAACGACTGCAAAACCATATTAATTAATGTACTAAGGGGTGGTTTTGTAGGTGTGATCGAATACTATGGTTCGGGAAGGGACTCGAGCAAAAGCAGTATGAAAGAGTCGAATCAAGATTATCAGACCATAGACCCGTCCGAGCGATTTTTATGGCAGAAACTGAGGTCTTGAGAGCTCCTAAAGGAATTCACAGCTGAGAGCTCCTAAAAGATTTCACAGCTTTATGTCGGACGTATTTAGAACTAATTTGGATGTACTTTTAAATGACTAAAAGCGCTTTTGGTGAAAAATGTTTTTGAAACCAATCCTCAGTAAAAATGCAAGTAAATCATGAAAAAGCTAGAAGAAGCACATAGTTGGTGTTTCTTGCAGAAAACACAGTGCTTTTGGAACCGAAAAACACTTTCTCTAAAAGTGCTTTCAGCCATTTTAAAAGTACATTCAAACGAGCCCTTATTTGCTTGCCAAATGATTTCGAAGAATATTTTAATGACAAATATTCATGTAAATGGAGATCAAGCTTCCATTATTGAGCATAAACTGCAATTACTCCGCTTTGATCACAAGAAGATTCAAATCTAAAACAAAATCAAAGCAGCCAAACGGAAACTAATAAAATTCTCATTTCTCAAGTTGCCATTACAGTTTAACTTGGTGTATATTTAAAGGAAATTCCGTAGCTAATACCGCTCCCTTATCCATAATAGTATCAGATGAGTAGCATATGTTGATGGTATTTAGCCAACATTTGAGTTTCAACAAAACGAACGCCGCAGGTTTTCATATCAATGTACACCGACACTAATAGCAAATGCAAGAGAGAAGTAAACTTAGCGAATGAAGAAGCATGTAGGGACAAAATAAGGTTGTTTGTACATAAAATGAGATTGTAAAGATGTATTAGATGTTTCAGATATTGACAAGTGTACGTAGATTAGGTTGCTAGGTAGTTAAAGTTGTTAACTTACTTAGTGACTAAGATAGCCTTGTCTATATATATGTATAGCTATTGTAACACAATTCATTCATTCAATACATACAAGATACAATTCATTTCTCTCTCTAAGATAGCTATTCTCTCGAATCTCTCTTTCTCTCTCAAGAACACATATGATGAACAAGAACTCCTTTGTATTCTGACATGGTATCAGAGCCAGGTTATGACGATTTCTCAATCCTGATCTGCTTTGTTTGCTTCCGCATTCCTGATCACTTTGTTTTGGTGTGAATTTCTGCTCTTTGTTTTTCATCTCTCTATAGCTCTGTGAGGTTGTATCTGCGCAGTTGCTTTATTGACGTATATGTCTCATTGTGCACACCAAGTGTTCGATTAATTGCTTCATACAAGATCTGTTTGCATTGATATCAGCAGTTTACAAGATTTCTCCAAGTTGAATTCTTGTGATTTTTTGTCCGATTTCTCTTTCTGAAACCGTAATTTTGTGATTGTTTTTCACGAATTCTCAAACTCTTGCAAATATGGTGACTGCTGCACAACTATAGATTGTACAGTCTCAAATCACGAATCTCATTACGAATGTCTCTAATTCTGTTACTGTGAAGCTTGATGATACAAATTATCTTGTATGGAATTATCAGATTCGATTACTTCTTGAAAGTCATAGTATTTTTGACTTTGTTGCTGGAACTCATCCATGTCCTACTCGGTTTAAAGATGATTCAGATGTTGAAGGTGTGGAAACTGAGGAGTTTCAGATTTGGAAAATGCATGATCGTGCTCTCATGCAGTTGATCATTACTACACTATCTCCCACATCCATGTCTTGCATCATTGGTTGTCTTACTTCTCATGATATGTGGACTACTTTGAAGGATATGTTCTCCACCGTCATGAAAGCAAGTATTTTTCAGTTGAAAACTGAGTTGCAGAATATCAAGAAAGGCTCTGATTCTGTCTCTCAATATCTTCAAAGGATCAAGTATGTACGAGATCATCTCTCTGCTGCAGGAGTAATCTTTGATGATGATGACATTGTAATCTTGGCACTTAAGGGCTTGCCTGCTGAGTATAATATTTTCCGAACAGTTATAAGGGGGAGAGACAATGTTATTTCACTTAAGGATTTCAGGTCTCAGCTATTAGCCGAATAAGCTGTTGTTGAAAATAATTCTGTGAGTGAATCTTTTGTGTCTGCAATGATGGCAAATGAGAACAAAGGAAAAGGAAAGGCTATGATGTTGGGAGAATGGTCTAATCAAACTCAATCACAGACCTATAGTCATAATGGTTCAATCAATGCTGGTACTTATAATGGTGGTTATTCTAATCATAATAGAGGGTACATTTTCAGCTACAGAGGCAGAGGAAGAGGTAGAAAAACTATAATTCAACTCCTCGATTCAATTATGGGTTTTCCAATTCCAGTGCAGGAATTCTTGGTCCAGGAAAACCACATGTTTCTACATGTCCTGACCATGGTTATGATATTCCAACATGCCAAATTTGTAACAAACGAGGACATGTTGCTGTTGATTGCTTCCAGAGACATTCATCCTCTCCTAAGCCATCTTCTAGGCCACAGTGTCAAATTTGTTGGAAATTTGGACATACTGCCTTATAGTGCTATCATCGAACCGATTTCTCACACTAAGGAAGGGCTCCATCTTTTACTCTATCTGCTATGTATACAAATTTTCAACCATCAGCACATTCGGACCAGTTTTGGGTGGCTGATACAGGAGCAACATCTCACATGACTTCTGATTTGGCAAACCTTAATCTTGCAACTCCCTTCTCTGGTGCAGATACCGTAACCACAGCCAGTGGTTCAGGTTTGAACATATCTCATATTGGTTCCAGTACACTAAGAACACCTCAATATGCATTTGAATTACACAAAATTATGCATGTTCCTCATATATCTCAACATTTATTATCCATTTATAGACTTTGTAAGGATAACAAATGTCGATTTATATGTGATGAGTTTTCTTACTGGATCCAGGACAAGGTCACAGGGAGAATACTTCTCCAGGGATTGTGTAGAGCTGGCTTATATCCCATTCCCTTCTCTCTTCCACAACATCTCATCAATAAAGCACATCAACCATCTGCATTCACTTCCACACAATCCTGTTTTCTTGGACAGCAAGTCAAAATAACGTTGTGGCACCACAGGCTCGGCCATCCTTCCAACATTGTGACATCTGCAATGTTAAAACACTCCAATATCCCTATGCCTGTTTCTCATGTGTCTTCTATTTGTAAATCATGTTTAGAGGGCAAATTTACCAAACTTCCTTTTGTTTTCCCTGCAAATAAAACTGTAAAACCCTTGAAGGTGATACATAGTAATGTTTGGGGACCTTCATCTACTGTTTCGGTTGAAGGTTACAAATACTATGTTACATTTGTGGATGAATGTACTAGGTTTACTTGGATCTTTCCATTGATTAATAAAAGTGAAGTGTTCAATATCTTTGCTCATTTTTATCAGTTTTTTGAAAACTCAATTTTCTGCCCATCTTAAAGTATTTCAAAGTGATGGAGGGGGTGAGTACTCCAGTCATCAATTTAAACATTTCCTACTTGATAAGGGTATAGTTCATAAAAAAATCATGCCCTTACACCCCTGAGCAAAATGGTATTGCAGAAAGAAAGCATTGATATATTTTAGAAACTGCCATCACCCTTCTACAAAATGCTTCCATGCCCTCTAAGTATTGGTTTCATGCATGTGCCCTGTCAAACCTTGCACATGTTTTCACCATATAAATGTCTTTTTGGTCGACCTCCTCAAATTTCTCATCTTAAAATCTTTGGTTGTGCATGCTATCCTCTTTAAAACCCTATAATACCACTAAGATGCAACCCAAAACAACTCAGTGTGTGTTTCTAGGATATGCAGGACAATACAAAGGTTATTTGTGTCTTAATCTTCTTACAAACAAAATCATGGTTTCCAGACATGTGTTATTTGATGAATTTGATTTTCCATTTTCTACTTCTCAGCACTCATCCACTCAATCTCATAACATTTTGTCTCAGTCACAAGTGTTTGTTCATATACCACGGTCCTTACCACCCTTAGTCACTTCCCAAAACCTAGTCATACCTCCTCAACCATCTTCTTCACTTGCTCCATCCCCTACAGCCTCAGAGTCTTCGAATTCTCTATCTCCTAGATCCATAGAGTTATTGCCAACATTTCCCTCTAATGCCTCAGAATCTTTGGATTTATCTACCCATGAACCAGCATCTTAGAGTTTTACACAGTCTCAAATCCCTATTGATCCAGATTTTCAAAAAGAACAACTACCTGTTGTTCTTCCCATTCCCTTGGTTAGTTTGCACCCCATGCAAACTAGGTCCAAAAGTGGAATCTCAAAACGAAAAGTGTTCACAACAACTGTTCAGACATCTGCAAAAGGCACTGAACCTACTTCCTACAAATTTGCGTGTAAAAGTCCTGAGTGGCAAGCAGCTATGAAAGAAGAGATAGATGCTCTTCATGCTCAACAAACTTGGAGTCTAGTTCCTCTACCCTCTGGGAAGAATTTGGTTGGCTGTAAGTGGGTATATCGGATCAAAACACACTCTGATGGTTCTATAGCTCGGTACAAAGCCTGGTTGGTTGCCAAAGGATATAATCAAGATGAAGGTATTGATTATAGTGAGACTTTCAGCCCTGTTGTTAAACCAACCATTGTGAGGTTGATTCTGGCTTTGGCAGCTCAATTCAATTGGTCATTGCGCCAATTAGATGTCAAAAAATGCAATCTGCATGGTAAGTTAAATGAGGAAGTGTATGACTCAACCTCCTGGATTTCAGAGTGCAGTTCATCCTTCTCAGTATGTGTGTAAGCTCAATAAGTCATTGTATGGGTTGAAGCAAGCTCCCCGAGCTTGAAATGAAAAATTTACAAGCTATTTGCCTGGTTTGGGTTTTAAGTCATCTTTTGCAGATCCTTCATTATTTGTTAAACATATTGCTGCTGGTACGGTTGTGTTGTTACTCTATGTGGATGATATTATTCTTACAGGCAGTTCATCTATACTGATTGATGATGTTATTGTGGAATTAACCAAAGAGTTTGAAATGAAAGATTTGGGTCAGTTGAAATACTTTATGGGGTTGCAGGTTACTTATCAATCTGGTGGCCTGTTTGTCTCTCAGTCTAAATACATCAAGGATATGTTAAACAAAGCTGATTTGCAAGATTCCAAGCCCTGTCCTACTCCTTGCTTACCATATCACAGACTCCTCAAAGATGATGGCGCTCATTATCACAGTCCAGAGCAATATAAGAGCATTGTTGGGGCCTTGCAGTATGTGACTTTTACAAGGCAAGATATAGCCTTTTCTGTCAATCAATGCTGTCAATTTATGCATTCTCCCATGACTTTCATGTTGTTGCAATCAAGCGTATTCTTTGATACCTTAGTGGAACAATAGACTATGCTCTAAGCTTCAAACCTGGAAAATCACATCTGCAAGCATACAGTGATGCAGATTGGGCGGGTGATACTAATGATCGCAGATCAACTTCCAGACATATTGTATACTTTGGTTCAAGTCCAATATCTTGGGCTTCTAAGAAGCAACACACCGTGTCAAGATCTTCGACTGAGGTAGAATATAGAGCACTAGCTATTGCAGCTGCAAAATTGGCCTGGATTCAACAATTATTGTGTGACCTGCATGTTTCTGTGTTCACTGCACCAGTGATCTACTGTGACAATATTTCAGCAATTGCTTTATCTTCTAATCCCGTCTTTCATTCTCGGGTGAAGCACATTGAAATAGATTACCATTTTGTCCGGGAAAGGGTGATTCAAGGAGATTTGAATGTTTGTCATGTGTCTTCCAAAGAACAATTTGCTGATATTCTCACCAAGGGCCTTGCTGCACCTTTGTTTCAGTCTCACTGTTCCAATCTCATGCTTAGTTCGATCAAACATGAGATTGCGGGGGATGTAAAGATGTATTAGATGTTTCAGATATTGACAAGTGTACGTAGATTAGGTTGCTAGGTAGTTAAAGTTGTTAACTTACTTAGTGACTAAGATAGCCTTGTCTATATATATGTATAGCTATTGTAACACAATTCATTCATTCAATACATACAAGATACAATTCATTTCTCTCTCTAAGATTGCTATTCTCTCGAATCTCTCTTTCTCTCTCAAGAACACATATGATGAACAAGAACTCCTTTGTATTCTGACAGTTATCACAACCGCCATGCAGCAAACTTAGCTAATGGAAAATACCCTCAATTGTCGAGTAAGAATTGCAATTACTATGCTGTGATCAGAAGAACCAAACGCAATAGTTTCTTTCTACGTTGTGCGATTGGCGGTGGTTTTGTACGGCAGGGGGAAAAGCATGCTAGTGATTCTGTGAGTTCAAGAGTAATAATACTGAACATATTGCAGCAACTAAGTTGTTATAGTTCATGCATTCTGCTGGAACTCTATAATCTGGTACCTCAATAGCCGGATTCTGCCCCTTGGTGGAGCGCTGAGTTTAACATCATGTTAAGCCAGATGAACCTTCTCAAGTGGTTCCTGATATTCATAATGATAAAAAAAAAGAAGAAAAATAGATGAATGATAGTGCGTATGTATATACGAAACAAAGTACAAAAAACCCATCCTGCAAATGGACACAAAAGCCAATAGAAATAAGATGCAATGCAGAGTATTTTGCTTAAAACAGGATATCTTTGAAAATGCTTGTATCCAATTACAAATGGAGCTTATTCTGATCTGGTTGTAACAGACACATACCTCCAAGATAGCTTTAGCCTCATTACTGAACGCTTTGCAAAGAATTTCATAACTCTTCTCAATCCCTATCTGCACAAACAATAGACTTCATAAGAAGACATAGTGAACAAAATGGTAATTCTTCTACGTAATTCAGCCACTGTAGATAGTTTGCCAATAATCCCTTACCAATGGATCAACTTGTGATGGTGATATAGTTGATATGATGTATCTGTTGAAAGGAAAAGAAATCTGATCATTCGATGCAATGGAAATAAAAAAGCATCATTATAAATTTGTTGAACAAAGCACCATGATATCATCACGAACTAAACTTCAAAATGAAGCAAATTGTATGTTTTCAACAACATAAAACTTGTCTGTCGGCTTTTCAGCAAACCAGCCAATCAACATGGCCTTATGCAGCGGTTACTAATATAGTTGCATCAAAATGAACAACATATGCATCTTAAAAACATCCCACCTAGGATCCACAAATTATTGGTAATACACTTCATCAATCTGCTATTGAATAACTGTTATGACTAATACTACATGGAAAAGAAAAGTATATAGGCGCTACAGTTCTTCCAAATGTAAAAGCTGGTAAGCATGAAGGTGAAAAATAATTCTCTTCCTTTTATCAGCAGCATCGCTCTAGAAAACTGAAACTGACACATCATGGATGAAAAACTCTTTTACAGGTTTCACTGTTTTTAAGTCCTTCAAGTAGTATATACAAGCAAAAAGTTTACCTCATCTTACTTAAATATAAATTCATGGCTACCGAGTTTGACTTTTGGACAGTTAGAACGACAGCGCCCATGTGGTTCTACAAAGATTGAAAATGCTAGATTAATTGCCAAGATGAAAATAAACACGGAATGCAGATAAGTTGGTTTAAGAATCATTTCGTCAAGCCATCAGACATTCTCCTTCCATCTAGATTTTTATTCAGCTGTCTGTTAAATACATGCTTAAAATGGGAGATGGGACATAATCAGCACCTTGCGAGCAATTAGCTCAATTAGTTGCATTAGGAACTTCCCCAGACCTTTCCCTTGTACGCGAGGCTCAAGTTGCAATTCATACACATAAAGAACAGGCAATTCTTCCTCTATGACAAATCGAAAATGTACAAACCCAACCATGGGCCCCCTCTCCTCACAACTAGCTGAGGTCCTTTCCTGCTCCGACATTGTTAACATGTCACTAGCACTTGCATTTGAAGCCTCGCGTACAAATATATAACGTGCTTCAGGTGCAACCATCTCCCTGCGCTTCACCTTCTCCTCCACCAGCCACTCAGATCCATAAAGCCCCTCCATATTTGCCTAATCATTTCCCAAAACTTGAATTACTTTTGCCCGCAAAGAGTAAATAAATCAAATGAGAGCATTTTGGACCTTGCAGAATTTGGTGGAGTTACGAAAAAAAAACAGACAGACGACTTCAAATACCTTAAGAAGATTTTGTATGTAATGCTTTAGGGTAGACGAAAGCTTGTCCCCTCGTCCTGATTCCAACAATGCAGACAGGCCTAAACATCCAATATAGCATTAAGCATTGCAGGAAATTTTGTCTTCCAAATAAAATCGTGAGGGATTTAAACTTGAAACAAAGCAAGACTGACTGCATTATCACCAAGAAACTTCCTAACCATCTACCACTGAGACGACCACAAGCTCACCACTTTCATACAAAAATCGAAAAACCCGAAAAGGAAATGTTGCCTAAACAGAAGCAGAAAAGAAACTAGAAAAAAAGCCCAGCTTGAGATTTCAAAGTGCGTTTGCTTAACGGCGAAAGGCAGGGAAAGCAGAAAGATGGTCTTTTTCGGAAGAAGCTGCTTTCAACAGTGCATCCATGGCCTTCTTCTTCTCGATTATCTGGAAATCCAAAACAAACGTGTACAATTAACGGCTGCGATTGCTTCAAAGTGTAGGGGAAGAGTGCGATTCTACCTTTTGCGGGATTGCTTTCTTTCATTGATTTGTCTCCATTGGCGCTCCAATCAACTCTGTCCGTTCGGGACTCCTAACTTTTTAAAATTTAAAGTTTATTTTTGCCGATTAAGATCTCAAGAAACAAGCTCCCACAAACTAAAGTGGCGGAATAAAGTGGAACAAGATCCGAAATTCAGAGATTAATTAATGCTTAAAGTGGATAAAACTTTGAGCAGGAATTTCTATAAAGAAGGGCAAAAGGAAAATTGCTGACCTGACTCTCTCTCTTCTGTCATGCAACACTGATACATAGGCAATCTCCTTCTCACTGGCAGAACTCATCCAAGCAGGAAAAACGACAGCTCATCTTCTCCATCCGAAAAATTCACCTTACTTGATTTCACTTTAAATTTTTACCAGTACATTTAAAAAGAAAAAAAGCTGAAAAAATGGAAATCTTTGAAAATGAGAGAATGGCAATTTTGGTATTGTGTTTCAAGTGGTGGTTGGTTTGAGGGCAAATTAAAGTCGAAACGTTTGGCTTCAAAGACTAGTTTCTCAGGTCAAATTTTTTTTTTCCTTCCTTTCACGTTCTTGTGAAATTTGTCGATGCCAGCAATTACGTGTCAAAAGTGAAAAGAGAATGGATGGATCTGCGGTCGGCTGGCGAAAGTACTTGAACCGCGATTGCTTCTTGGTGTCTGATTCTCATCCGCCTTTACTCGGTTCCTTAATCTGATTAGCAAGGTTCTGTTCCCAAGCAATCTTTTTTCCTTTCTTCACTTATCATCTTTGCACAAATTTAGTTTTTCTCCAGTGGTTAAGACTTATTCTGGAATCAATAGTTGAAAACATTTTTTAAGCTTTTTATCTTAGAAAAAGTTAGTTGCCGTGCGGAAGTGGCAAAGGAACAGTATAAAGCTTCAAATAGTGGATGCCCCACTTCAGTGGCTTTGAAGGCTCTTAAAATGAACTACACTTACGAACGCTCTTTGCGGAATTCCCAGTCTTTTTTAAATACATGATCGTACTTTGACCAATTCAAGTTCGCCCTCCCTCTTGTTCCTCGCCATGCCTCAAGGCTGAAAGCTTTTCTTACTTATTTTCTTGCTTCTGTTTCCCGATTGAATCTCTCATGATCTCTTTCTTCCTCCTGATTAGTGGTCTTGCTCAGGTTGGTTAGATTTTTTGGTAATTCATCGAGTTTTCTTTCAAGAAAATTTGTGAGGCCTTGTACTCAGTTTCCTCGATGGTTTTTAGTTTTGTTTTTATTAACTTCTTCATAGGTATCCTGGTGCGTTGTAGCTTTTTGTGTCACCTGTAACTATTTAAAACCTTAATAAAGTTAATTTTAAGTTTTGAGTGAGCTGGACATGCGGTTAAGGAATTTTCTGGCCAAGGTTTGTTGTTTTGAAACTATAATTTTAATGCGATTATATCAGGTTCGATACCCTTTTACATGGTTTGTGCATTTTTTGATTTTTGGACGTTTTGAAAGCTTTGGTTAATTGTTACCTAATGAATTGTTAGAGACTATTGTCACTTCGAAAATTAGGCTAGATTATTGCGGAAATAGTATGCCATTGTGGAGACAAATTTTATCAGATATGGTAAAGATCTATTGCCTGCAAGTGTACGTTGTGTGGAGAGGTCAACTCTGCCTTATTTCCAAACGCTGCTAAAAACCAATTATTTGTGTTAGAATTTTTCCGTAATTAGAATGTAATCTTTTAGCGAAATTCGTAGAATGATACCTGCTTAACCCTGAGTCTCTTGGACTAAATGTGATGAATTGTACAAGTTGAACTAATGCAGTGAACATAATACAGGGCTTTCATATTAATTTTATTGATTCTACCATGTTAAATTTGCAGTCTGGTGATCAAATGTTTTTGTGCTGAGGGATGTTTTTTGCCTCACCACAATTTGATTGATTCAATTCTAGCAGGGATGGTCTCCTGCAAAATTTAGTGCTTTTAAGTGCAACCCCTTTTGATTTATACTTGATTTTACATGAGGCGACTCTGATCTGATATAATTGTACTTTAGGGCATCCGAGCTGTGACTGGTCCTTCGGGTTGTCTTCTTATTGTCACGGTATAATTTCTACTTTGAAGTTTGTTTGTTGGGTTGTTCTGTGTATAGTCGGGATGCTAAATGACAGCTATGGCAAAAGTTTTGGAGCATTCTGAAAGACCATTACTGATAACAAGTACAAACAAAATATAACAACAATAGAAAATGGAAAATTGCACCTTAATACATATTAAATTCTGGAATTGCTTCCCAGCCTCGTGAACATATATGGTGGAAATCAGTGATTTCGGGAATGTGGCTTTTTTTTCTTTCTTTTCTTTGTATATTCACATATATTATCCCTGATATATGGATATTGCTATCTGGTTGTTGACAGAATTATACTGGGGACCGTTTAAATTTTGGTTTAGCTGCAGAGCAAGCAAAATCAGAAGGTTATAAAGTAGAGGTATACATTAATTTGCATATTTCCTTATATATTTTCAGTTTAAACCCTCTGAAGCATGGTTAGATTAAATGAAAACAATGAGACTGCCGTTTAATGGTGCAGACTGTAATTGTTGGAGATGATTGTGCATTACCCCCGACTCGAGGAATAGTTGGTCGAAGGGGTTTGGCCGGGACCATTCTTGTTCATAAGGTTCTCTCCCTCTCTCTTCTTTTTTGTCTCAACACTTTCCATTTATAAGTACTTTCATTAACTATTGTATCCAGCCAGTTAAACATTGTCTTTGTGTTAGATATTTGTCATTTCATGTATGCATGCGGGGTTATTATGAAGGATGTTAGAAATGGAGTGTTTTGTGTTTGAAGGGTTGGAAGCCTTTTCACCCATGTCTTCACATCCTAATTAAAACATGGTCCATAGTACCAACTGTTAATAGTATCAGTATTTTCCATTATTTTGATTAAATGGTTAATTGAAATCTGTGATCTCTGTGACATAGATTGCTGGAGCTGCTGCTGCTGCTGGCCTTTCACTTGCGGATGTTGCCGCAGAAGCAAGACGAGCATCTGAAATGGTTGGAACAATGGGCGTTGCACTATCTGTTTGCACATTGCCTGGTCAGGTTACACCAGACCGTTTGGGTCCAGGAAAGATGGAACTTGGTCTTGGAATTGTAAGTTACTTTCTATAAGCGACCTTGATTATAAATTAAAAGGTCAAGCTCTAGTTTTCTAATCATGTTAAAACACCGACTCTTATCTCTGGTTTGCATACCATAAATTGGAACTCATTTTATCTGCTTAAATTCTTCCAACCATATCCTCATTTGATTGTTTTGTGTTGTAATTTCCAGCTTTTTGCACATATGGCCTGGTACTTATATTTACTTTTTAAATACTCTGACAGACTGACTAAAACTTGATTACTTTTACAGCATGGAGAACCTGGTGCTGCTGTAGCTGATCTTCAACCGGTGGATGTTATAGTTTCTCACGTTCTTAAGCAGATATTGTCTCCAGTATAGCTTGATACTTTCTTATTATGAACTTAGCATTTTAACTACGTTACATTTTGTGTTTTTTCCCTACAAACTATTGAATTAAGCTCCAAATTTGTAAAAGATTTAATTACTAATCTTTGCAGGAAACTAATTATGTTCCAATTACTCGGGGTAGTAGAGTGGTGCTTATGGTAAACGGGTACGTGGGAGATTTTACTTTACATGTTCAATGAATATTCCAATTATGGGGATTTTTATTCTGTGCCAAGAGAACATATTTGTAATCTTGTGCTTTTTTCCCTTGTGGCAGGTTAGGTGCGACTCCAGGAATGGAACTGATGATTGCATCTGGTAAAGCAGTGCCTAAGTTGCAGCTGGAACATGGATTGGCAGTGGATAGAGTGTATACTGGGTCGTTTATGACTTCTCTTGACATGGCAGGTTTGTCCTCTAGGCTCTGCCACATGACAAGAGTTAATTAGTTATATTAATAATTTAAACATTCTTAATATTATGTTTCTTCAGGTTTTTCTATTTCTATCATGAAGGCTGATCAAACTATTTTGCAACGTCTGGATGCTGCAACAAAGGCGCCATATTGGCCTGTTGGTGTTGATGGTATTTGATTATGGTGTTTGAACGCATCTTCTTGTGTTTGTATTTCTTTGTGAATAGAAATTGCTTTCGTGAAAGTCTAGTGACATTGGTTTCATGAACAAGTCATATTTCTGCTGTCTTAAAATACAGTTAATACATACTACACTTCTTTAATAACATATTTACTTATCAAAAACTAAAAGTTTCGTCAAATTTGGTATGTTGAACTCAGTGGTTGTCCCTTGCAGGCAATCACCCACCTGCAAAGATTCCTGTTCCATTACCTCCATCTCGTTCAACAAAGTCTGATGAGGTATGTTCAAACCTTTGTTTGTACAGTTAGGCATGTACAATCATATTGTTTGACTTTGTACGCTTTCAATAGCCATTAGGTCGGCCAGCACAACTTAACGAACAAGGCCAGATTCTTGAGGTGGCCATTGAAGCAGCTGCAAATGCAATTAAAAAACTTAAGGACAATTTGAATGATTGGGATGGCAAAGTAGGTGATGGTGACTGTGGGTCAACAGTAAGTCCTAGCCTTGATCTCTATTTACTTCTTGATGATATGATGCGTGCTAAATCTGGCTCCTAATTCTCTTGTCATTTCCTGCTCAAATCATTTAACGTGTTACATCTTATGTTTTCGATTGCAGATGTATAGAGGTGCAACAGCAGTTTTGGAAGACATGAAAAAGTACATTTGATTTTCAGTTTTCTTTCTTATTCGATTATTGATATCGTACCCAGTGCACAAGGCTCCCGCTTTACGCAGGGTCTGAGAGAGGTGAATGTCGGCTAGCCTTACCCCCATTTATGGAGAGGCTGCTCCCAAGTCTCGAACTCGAGACCTACCACTCATGGGCGAAGGCACTTGCCATCGCACCAAGTGCGACCTCTTTATTCGATTATTGATATGCTTATGAAAAATCTTTTTAAGTGGTTATCATCTTCTTTCAATAGAAAACAACTTAAAATGGTTTTTCACAGGCATTTCGACAATTCAACGGTAATAATAAAAGGTCTTATATTTATTATTGTATTGCAGTTATCCTCTGAATGATGCAACCGAAACAGTCAACGAAATTGGATCATCAATCAGAAGAGTTATGGGGGGCACAAGTGGGATCCTGTATTCAACTTCCCCTTTTCTTCGATAAAGTTAGACAGAATTTTTGAAGTTTCCCTGCATTTACCCTGACATGAATTTTTACATCTCTATTCTTGAAACAGGTATGATATATTTTGTAAGGCAGCCTACGCTCAATTGAAAGCAAGCACCCAATCAGTTGTCACCTCAAAGAATTGGGCTGAAGCGCTTGAAGCTTCCATTGCTGCAGTGAGTAAATATGGTGGGGCTAGTGCTGGTTACCGGACAATGTTAGATGCCCTTATTCCAGCATCTACGGTTCTTCAGGAGGTCAGATAATTATCAGTTACTTCTGCTTTGTTTTTGTGGGCTCATATTTTTGTACTTACAGTTTATCTGTTTTTGAAAACAGAGGTTAAAGGCTGGTGATGATCCTGTGACTGCTTTTCTACTCTCATCTGAAGCGGCATTAGATGGAGCTGAGTCGACTAAGAACATGCAGGCACAGGTGTCCGACTAATTCGTTTCTATCTTCTTCTTTTTTTCACCCGTAGAATCCTAATTACAATGATATCATATCCTCCTCGGCCGTTTTGTATTTATGGGGATCTGATTCTGCCGTGGTGTTTTATGCAGGCTGGTCGTTCAAGTTATATCTCTGGAGATATACTGGCTTCAGTTCCAGACCCAGGTGCGATGGCTGTAGCGTCGTGGTACGGAGCAGCAGCCTTTGCTGTCAAGTACAAAAACCAGACTCCTCCATAGACAAGAGCAATGCATTAGCTCTAGTTGCATTTCTGCCACTTTTTTTAACTTGCAGATACAACCCAGCAACTCATCATTTTTGTTCATACTTTTTGCACTACTAACAATATGAGCTTTCCGCTTGTGCTTTTTGTGCGTAAAGCTGAGAAAGCGAGAGAGTTTCATCGATATATACATACAATGTCTTGAGACCTTTAGAAAAAAAAATGTATATTTCAGTTCTTGGTAGCATTCAGAATAATTTGCAGACTATCAGTCTAAGCATATCGTTGTAAACTATCGTTTCAAATGATGCACTTTTGTATGGTTTCTTGTGAATTATGTCTGTCTAAAATTCACAAAGCAACGCGAACTTTTTGGTTTGTTGCACTAGTTTTGTATCTCACATTCCTGTTTCAAAGTGTTTTTAAAACAAGTAAAAAGTGTTTTAGAGAACCAAACATTAGCGGGACTCCACTAATGTCTGGTAGAATGTATCAAAAGTGCTTATACAAGCATGTTTTAGATTGTTTTTGGAAGAAAAAGATATTACAAGTGCTTTTTGCTATTAGACAAGTGTTTTTCGAAGAAGCACATGTTTGGACGCTTCTTCGATAAGCTGTTCAAGATGTTTTTATGGAAAGCACGTTTGAATACAAATTTCAACATGTTTAGAAGTGCTTTTCTTGAGCAACAATATTCCAAATCGGACCCTAAACCCTATTGTCCTTCCAATCCAACCTTACATCAAGTGCGTTTCGTCCAAAAAAGAGAAAGCTTAGTTTAACAGGAAAATTAATGAAAATTGCTTGAAAACTTTGAGTTTTAATGATAAGAATAAAATAAAGGGTAAAGTGAATAGTACTATGATTGACTTTTTAGTGTAAAAATGTGTTTTTTCGTTAAAATGAACAGTACCGGATGGTTTTCGTTAAAATTTCCTAGTTTAATTGCATTTTCAAACAGCACTTTGAACAAAAGCGCTTGTTACAAGGGAATCAAACATTTGGTCCTCACGACACGAGAAGGGCAAATGAGGACGAGTACATGAGCATTTAGCTCCTTGGGTCAACAAAAAAAAAGCAGGCCAGACATGGACACACCGAACAAGTGGGCCCCCGCCCTAGCTGTCAGCGCCGGTACGTTGTGCAACAGTGCAAGCGAGTAGCGATGGGGGTCGCATTCACATGGCCGTACAAAAATCAGCGTTGGTGCGATCTCAACCGTCGGATCAGACTCCAAAATTCTAACAAGTAATTACCTACTTACACATTTGTAGGGACATTTTGATCGAAAACTTCGTTCTTCAACGAGATCAAGCAGCAGTCCACGTTTGGCCAAAATCTTTAGAGCAGAGACCAAAAATGGCGGAGCAACTAACAGAGGAGCAGATCGCGGAGTTCAAGGAAGCTTTTTGCCTCTTTGACAAAGATGGCGATGGTATATATTTGTACACATTCTTATTTACACATGTGTGTTATATATGTATATGTATATAAATCATGTATATATTTGTTGGGTTTAATTTCGTTTTGTATAAAAGTAGTCTGAAAGTTCAGGAATCAAGTTTTTGAACTACCCCTTATGATTATGTTTTCGAATGATTCATGTCAAATCTGGAAATGTTGATGTCTTTGAATTAACATGTTATGGGTCTTTAGATGCAGATTAGGCAGTATGTCCGTACTCTTGCACCCAAGTTCGAATCTTTCTTCCCGTGTCATAAATTAATTTAGAATATCGTCTTGTGAAAGACAAGGAAAACATGTTTATGGGTTCTGTTTCGTACATTTATGCTACCTCCCATCCTTCAGGTAGAAGTACTTTTGATTCACGTTTTTGTTTGCACTTAGGTTGCATCACTACCAAAGAGTTGGGGACTGTGATGAGATCTTTGGGACAGAATCCCACTGAGGCTGAATTGCAGGACATGATCAGTGAAGTTGATGCTGACCAGAATGGCACAATCGATTTCTCCGAGTTTCTGAATTTGATGGCGAGGAAGATGAAGGTATATAATCTCCTCACATTGTTGAATCTCAGGATAGTGATCTACTGTACTTTGGTGAATCATATGACGATGGGGTTTTTATGCTACGATTGTACTTGTTTAGAACTTTCACCCTAAGCTTTTTATATAAGATCGCTGCAGTAGCTATATACGAGTTGTTCAATAATCTTCCAACTGATCCATCATTGTTTAAATGTGATTCTTCTGTTCTAATTTAATCCTTGTGGAAACCAAGCATATGATTGATAATTCTAGCTTCCAGTTATAACTAAAGCATGTTGCAATTTTTTTCTCGATCATGACTTGAGCAAGTGCTTCATGAGTCTCGACTGTAGGGTGAGTAAGAATCGGGGTCAATGTTAATAGAATTGGAAGCATTAGTATCAGTATGTTTTGGTTCGTTTGATTAAGTTTCGGTTTGCTCTTTCTATCTGTGGTTTGGATATGTAATTGGGATGGTTTACAAAGTTTGTTGAATTAAAACTTGTGCAGGATACTGATTCTGAGGAGGAACTCAAAGAGGCTTTCAAGGTCTTTGATAAGGACCAGAATGGCTTTATTTCTGCTGCTGAGGTAAAGATCATAATTACTTGTTTGTAGGATGATATATTGAAGCATGTGTGTAGTGGAAACTTAAAGGGACAATCTGCCTAATTGTGCAGCTTCGACATGTAATGGCAAATCTCGGCGAGAAACTGACAGATGAAGAAGTGAATGAAATGATTCGTGAAGCGGACGAAGATGGCGATGGCCAGGTGAACTATGAGGAGTTTGTGAGAATGATGCTCAACAAGTGAAGTGAATTCTAGTGTTTGGATTCTAAAAAGGGTTGGGGCTATTAAACATTTGTGGTTGGTATTGTTGTAGAATCAGTCATACCAGTATCTTTGCTTTTGGACCTTTCTCAACAAGTCGGAATTCTCGTCTGTTGGAATTAATTGAGTCTTTAATCTCGTTCTCATTTTCAAATAAAAGTATGAGATTACAAAGAGTAACTCCATGTGTTAGTGTAACAAGTCATTCTGAAAAATCTCTTTTTACAATAGACATTTACTTACACATGGATGCCATTGTGGTGCAAGCGAATTATGTTATGTGCATTTTAACTTTTTGACATGTTAGTGCATACGTTGTTCGAAACAATCATTTGATATGTTACAGGGTTGGCTTCGGCTAGTAGTAGGATATATAAATAGGGAAAGGGATCTTATTCGGATCCCTTCCACCAAATTCACCAAATCAATCAATCCGGACCCTTGAAATTTGATTCGAGAGCTAAAGTTATTATAAATTTTAAAGGGGCTCCTGTTTTTAACCCTTTGATTAAATTTCAAGGGTCCAGATTGATTGATTGAGTGGATTTGGTGGAAAGGATCCGGCCATTTCCTATAAAATAAATAGAGGGTAACGAATGAATGCCATGAACTATTATTAAACCCACTACTAAAAACATACATTAATTTTCACAAAGATAGGATTTGCGTTTGTTGCTTTAGTAGAATTTTATACTTAATATTTTCGCGTTTATTATTCAATAAGGATTTATAATATCACATACAAACCTAGTTCTACAAGGAAGACTATAACCCAACATAAATCTTTCCTAATAAAGAACTCCTACGTTATCTACTCTTAGTGACTCGTTTGAACAGCTATAGCCTTTAGCGCACACTTATTACAGTGAGCTAATTAAAAACTAAACAGGAAATCAAAATTACACTTTTGCATGTTACACGATTATATTTAGCTCATGCAACAAACTTTTTAAAGCCATAGGTGACTGAGATAGAACGAGTGAAGTCTCGTGAAAAACATCACACGATCATATCATGTAATGGGTGCGAATGGCTGTGTAGACATCAACTTCGTAGGGGTCAGGGACTTCATCGCCCAGGCGTAATTCTAATCTGTTGTCAACAAATGGCTTTGTATAGAGGCCAGTTGCGACATGGCGTAGTCGGCAGAGCACGTTGTTGTGGTTGTTTCCGGTTGGTCCGACACTCTCAGGCTTGAACAATGTGCAAGTCCATCTTTCTGTGTTTTCGTCTCGATTGTCAGCCGCAGCAAGGATGAATAGCTTGTATCATTTTCCGTTGTACAAGCATTTGATATGAACGTAGTGATTATTTTGGTGGTCCCGACTATTCGGCCGCTCCACTTGGAATTGTGTTTACTCGCTCGTACGATCCTGTGCGGAGAACTGGAGAATCTGATGAATGTTGTTTTCTTGATCAAGCATGTAGCGCAAGTACATGTCATTGTTGTTTGATTTCAGCACAAAAGGGCTCGGTAGTAGAAGCGGTTCCAAGCCGACGACTGTGTACACATCCATGGCGTTGTGTAGGTTGGGGTTTTTTGTCTCTGCTAGAGGCACTGATTGAAGTCGTTTTTTGTGAATGACGTTACATAGTGCCCGAGTCGCACGTGGATTAATCGGATGACTGCCTTGTTGTCTGAACGGACAACCTCAGGCTCGAACAATGTGCAGGACCAATGACTTAAATCTTCCTTTGGTTCGTAAGCCCCAGCTACAATCCAATACTGCCGGTGGTTCGCCCTTCTCAAGTACCTGTTGTTGTAACAGCTTTTGATATGCACGCGTCCTCCGTAACCACTTTCCTCCGGCTCCATCTGGAACCTTGCGTATTCGCTCTGAACATTGTCTTCGGGGAGTTGGACAAGCCCATCAAGATTCTCGATACTTCGATTATATGTATGTAGCGCAAGTATTTTTTTTTGGTTTGATTTCAGCGCAAAAGACCTTGGTAGTATTGTTTGTTGCCATGTTATCTGCAAAGTTATTTTTCTCCCTTCTCTCTCAATTTTAATTTAGAGTAAATTGTAGCAATGGTCCCTCAATTTTAATTAAATTGGAGCAATGATGCCTCAACTAAAAATTCATTACCATTAGTCCCTCAACTTATCAAAATGTGTAGCTATAATCATTTTCATCAAAATTTTGTCAAAATAAGTTATGTTGGAATAACCATTTATATAATTAGGGTCCCTCAACTCATCAAAGTGTGTAATTTTGGTCCTTTTCGTCAACTACGTCAAAATTTTTGTCAAAACGAGTTATGTTAGAAGGATCATTTCTACAATTTGGTTAGAGTTAAAAGACCATTTCTCCAGTTGAATTAAAGTTGAAGGACCAATGGTAATGAATTTTTAGTTGATGGACCATAGATGCACGTTTTGATGAGTTGAGAGACCAATGACAATGAATTTTTAATTGATGAACCATTGCTTCAATTGAGTTAAAGTTAAGGGATCATAGCTACAATTTACTCTTTAATTTAATTGGGATAATATATGTCTCCCTCTCTCTCTCCTCTCTTAATTTCTTCATTTTCTCTTCTTCAGCTCTTATCTTGCTTATAAAGTCCACACCTAAATTTACAGAATAAAATTGCTGCCAGCTTTCAATTATCATTTTTTTGTGTGGAAGTTTTAACGAAACACTTCCAGTACTGTTTACTTTTAACGAAAATGACATTTTTACTCTAAAAAATCACTCATGGTACTATTCACTCACAACACATTTTTGTCATTTTGATTAAAATTCAAAGTTTTCAAGTCATTTTCATTAGTTTTTTTTTTTTCAGTCTTTCTTCTTATTTTTTATTTTGATACAACGATAAACAGTAAGGAACAACGTTTTAAAAGACACATGTCTAGTAACACTTTGACACGCCGCAACCCCAATATCCCCAAATATCAGGATAGGCACGTGCTGGCCGACACCCGAGGACGAAGCCATACATGCATGCGAATTAAAATATGTGATTAGGAAGGAATATACTAATGCAGAACCGTGTTCAGAGCATACAAATAATAAAAAATAATGTGAAAGAATTATTATAAAAAGGTACGAACCGAGGAATGGGTCCTACCCTGAGAAAACTCGAAGGTGCCTAAGCGAGAGTGCCCTGATGCCGGGATCGTGTACCTCGAATCTAAATCATGAAGGGGCGCAAAACTGAAAAGGTGAGTGGACCAAAGTTGATAATAATAATAATACTAATAATAGGAAAACCATTTTCTTTATGAACATACTTAGGGCTAGAAAAGAAACCAAAATTCCCATACCAAACCGAAAAATTCCCGAAACCGAACCAAAAAAATCCCAATCCGAAAATCCCGAAAATTTTGGTACCCAATACCAAATCGATCCCGAAATTTCGGTACGGGAATCGGTCTCAAGTTTTCGGGGATTTCGGTAATCCCAAACCGAACCGAAATATATATATATATATTTTTTTTTAATTTTTAAATATATATTCAGAAATTTTATAGATGTCGGATTCGGTGAGATTTAATCTCAACCATTGAATCGTATCAAATCCACTGAATAACATAAACTAACTACTCACTCTGTCACTCTGTCACTCAGCGTTTACAAAGGGAAGGTTGTCCTCGTTGTCAATGTTGCTTCCAAATGGTTCTTCTTCTTCTTCCCTTTTTCCTTTTCTTTTTCTTTTGTTTTTATTTTCTGGTTTAATTTCAATTGATTAATTCTTGTATTTTTGTTCTTCTGTGGGTTTATTGATACGAATTATACCCAATAGACTGAGCTTTACAGCAAATACAAGGAGAAAGGTTAATTTTTTCCCTCTTTAATTACTTTTTTCACTGCTGCAGCTCTATATGTATGAACTTGTTATTTACTAAATGTTATGAAACCATTCTTAATTTCCAACTTTGGTGCGAAATATGTTTATCGAAATTGTTGGGATAATCATTTTAGAATTGAGTTTTGGAATGAAGCTTTAATCTTGAATGAGGTTCTGGGAAATATTTCTGTTTTGTAAACCAAATCCAAATGTTATATTTTGTTTGTGTTTCTAGTTTCAAGTCCTTGTAGAAATCTTTGCATTGAAATTGTTTGTGTGAATAGATATAAAAGGTTAAATTTTAGCCCAAAAGCATATATGTCAAATTTTAGTCCAAAAGCCTAAAACCATTTCGGGATTCCCGATTTGTCTCGAAATCCCGAAACTATTTCGGGATTCCCGAAAATTTTGTTTGGGATCGGTATTGAAATTGGGATGCCCGAAAATTTTGGTTTGGGAATTGAGACAAGAGTTTCGGTATGGGATCCCATACCGAACCACCCTTAAACATACTAACCCCCTGTTTTGAAAACACATATAATACTACATAATAGGTTTTTTCTGAAAACTTTAGCATGTCACATCCCGGGCCCGCTCCACCGCAGTAGTACGATATTGTCCGCTTTGGGCCCCGACCACGCCCTCACGATTTTGTTTCTGGGAACTTACACGAGAACTTCCCAGTAGGTCACCCATCATGGGAGTGACCTCGTGCGCTACTCACTTAACTTCAGAGTTCTGATGAACTCTGAAGCCAGTGAGCTCCTAAAAGACATCGTGCTAGGTAGGGATGAGAATATACACATAAGGATCACTCCTATGGGCGATGTGGGATCTTACAATCCACCCCTCTTAGGGGCTCGACATCCTCGTCGGCACACTACAGCCAGGGTTAGACTCTGATAACAAATTCCCGGGCCAGCTCCACCGCCGTAGCACGATATTGTTCGCTTTGGGCCCCGACCACACCTTCACGGTTTTGTTGAGAACTTCCCAGTGCGTCACCCATCATGGGAGTGCTCTCGTGCGCTACTTGTTTAACTTCGGAGTTTCGATGAACTCTGTAGCTAATGAGCTCCCAAAAGGCCTCGTGCTAGGTAGGGATGGGAATATACATATAAGGATCACTCCCCTGGGCGATGTGAGATCTTACATAGCATGCCAAAAAAAAACCTTTGTAAATGTGTATATGTAAAACCATGCTCGATAATGGTGTTATCGCCGCCTGAAGGTAAATTCGTAAATCTCATCAACACATAACTCACTGGGGGTATCATAGCCGCCCGAAGGCAATACCTATCCATCACCCGAAGATGAAGTTGTACGGCACTGGGTTACGCTAGTGAAGAAGCATGGTAGGCCCTATCACCCGAAGGTGAAACTGTACGACTTCGGGTTACGCCAGAGAAGAAAATATATACATCACACACCGACACTAGCCGTGGC